AACAAAGAATTCTCGGATATGCCAAGTGATTCACAGTTCTCATTTGAAAGCTCCTTGACTGTCAGAAGAGTATCCCTCATCTCAAGCTCCTCTTGTAGATCTTGGACCAAGTTCTCAGTATCCTTTAATAACTCTTTGAGCTCGTCTATTTCACGCTTTTTCGCCATGAAAGATGATATTAAGCCGATCGAAATCCTGAGATAGAATAGAATCACTTGATCTGGTGACCAAAATAAAACTAAATTTAGGCACAATTTGTGAAATGGTAACCAATTAAGAATGCTGATGATGAACACCAAGAAATAATCAAAAGCTTTACAAATACCAATAGCCCATACTTGGATCATCATAACATTACAATGGCTCAGAACAATCCTTCAAGCAACCTGCTATAAAATTTTGAGACCTAAAGAGGTTTACGTTCGGAGCAACTCGCCTAAGACTCTTATAATTCTAACAGTTATAAGACGTTTATTTCTAAGTTACCGAGTCGATTCTTGATAGAAACGAAATAATATTCTATTAAGCAAATAATTTAGTGAAACCATGGAGTTATCTCATTCAAGTTCACCTTTTGCACGGGCGAGCTTCTCGTTGTGCATTTGACTGGCACTGCTTGCTCCACATTGTCTTCCTCCTCCGTTGATGTTTAGCATCTCAGCGGTCTTCAAAGACTGTCTTTTTGGAAGCAAAGGTATCCCATACACATCTTTGTTCTTTTCAGTAAAAGGCTCTTTATAGAAGTTACTTGCATCCAGATCAACCTGAACACAAAAAGAATCTCTAACATCCTTGCCGATCCGGGTTCCATCTTTTACAACGAACCGCCTGATAGTTGATTTAGACGCTGACTGAAACGAATGTAGGATATACTCTTCCATTTCAATATGTTCCTCGTAGAGATCAGACAGCACACAACTTTCTAGTGAACTAAGCGGTCGAATAAATCTCCGATTTGAATGTTTATGTCTAAGAGGACCTATTTTCGATATAGTAGGCCAAAAACAGCTCAGTTCACTAGAAGATGAACAAGGTAGCTGATCAGTCATATGATCATTCAAATAGCTCAATGATAATTCTAGTGGAAAATTGGACACGGGAAGACCATCATAGTCCCTGTAATTCCCCAAATTTTCTGTCTTTTCGAAATCTAAACCACTAGTAGAAGCCACATTGAATCGACTCCGAACAGAATCTCTCCCATTTGAAACCTCTCGATCAGCAGCAAGAATATCTCCATGTGTTTTTGTTTTTTGTTCTGCTCGGTGGAAGCGATGATCCATAGATCCTACTTCCTCATTAGCAGACATCTGATACGAACTACTCTCATCTCCCAACAGTTTCTGCCAATACTTAGCTAAATATCCAGCACCAGCGGCAGTTGCAGCTACCCAAAAGTTCATTTCAGCACGCTCCCTTCGACAGACAAACGATGCAAACCAAATTCCAAAATGCTAATCTTCCCTTTTGTTCTAACTCCCATAATCAGACACAAGAGACGCCAATGTCCATCAATACAGCAAGCCCAATTCTTCCCAAGATTACATTCAGTAAACCACACTAGCAAGTCCCATTTCCACATAAAATCAACTTGATACTCAGAAGGGGTACCTGGGCGACATCTTAACCGTGAAAGTAACAAGCCAGCAGCCTCGAACACGAGATGAAACAGACTTCAGTTTCTTGGCAGCAAGAACTAACAGTGTAAATTACTCCTAAACCTAGAAGAAACAAACGATCTGACAATGAGCAGACGGAAGGACTGAACAGAACAAATATAAAGCCAGAGGCCGCAATTACTTCACAACCTCTAGACAATTAACGTGCATCAAAGAAACAATCAACAGCACCGAGAAGCCATTTGTTAGTAGACGTCCAATTTTAACAATACACAATCGAAAGCAGCTCAAAAATAAGAAAAAAAAAAAACAGAAAAACCCACAACCCACCAACAAAGAGGAAAAACTCTCAACCCCCAACAGACGGTTCGTGCAAATCAAGAAAGAAATACCCATTGGAGAACAGCCCCTCTGCCGCAGAACCCATCAACGGAATTGCAAATTCCCATAATCAACAGAATGAACACGAAGCTGACAAAATGGTAGAAGAAGCTTGAAGAACAGGGTGAAAAAATGGGGTAGAAGAAGCTTGAAGAACAGGGTGAAAAAATGGGTCTAGAAAATTGTGATTCCGAACGAGATCGAAAAATCAGGAGGTCCCAGACCAGCGAAACAATGTGAGCTTTTGAAGGTGTCGTTATCGTCGCCGCCACGGTTGTTGGAATGGCTCGGAAGATTAAGACCCGCTGCTCCGTTATCTACTAAGGTAACCAAGGGCCAGTATACAAGTACATGTACAAATTATAAATTTCCTTTTCCGGATTTATAAAAAAAATCTATTAAACAATTATCTATTTTTCTTTTTATTTAAATAACGTAATTGTTTATTATTGACTTAGATTAGTTATAATGATTAAAAAAAAAAACCTAATTTTTTCTTTCAAAATATTTGTTTAAGAAAATAACATTATTAATTTTTTAGGCTAATTTATAAAAATTAATTATGTAAATAATTTTAACATCTTCTATATTCTTAAAATAATATCGATTTTTAAAATAAAATTAATTATTACAAAAAAATAATTTTTATACCATATTTAGAAGGCCACTTCATAATACTTGGTGGATTTTTCTGAATTTCACCGTTTCCAATCCAAACATTAGCAAATAAAGTGAATGTTCCTTCCCAATCCAATAAATAAATAAATAAATAAATAAATAATAATTTAAAGATGAGATGTTATTATTATAAACTATTTATATATTAAGACAATGCCACAAATAGAATTTTCTAAATACAATCATAAAAGATGATCTCAAAATATATTGAAAAAAAATTCATAATTTCTTGAAATATTTTATGATGAATTAATATAATAATTATATATAAAGAAAGTGTATATTAGAAGTGATAAAAATATAATAATTGGCGGGAAATGGACCGACAATTACAAAAAGGGCATTGGTTTTTTTGGAAAGGGAGTAAAAATGAAGGGTTAAAAAAGGAAAAAAAGGTGCTAATTAGGCAAACAGATGACTGATTAAGAAGCAAACCTACCTTTTATAAACTTTATTGATTTAGAAAGAGGATTTGAAAATGATTAAGTTTAAAGTTCGATCATTTCTAATCATTCAAATGTTACTTTTTAATAGATTTTTATATTTTTAATTAAATAGAGACAATTCGATTTTACGTATCAATTTTGTTAGTGTACTTTTAAATCGATTTTTGTCTATCATATAATTTAACGGAATTAAGCCGATCTCAACTAATACGGTTTAAATTAATTGAATAATAAAACAATTTACATAGTGTTTTTTTTTTTTTTTTTTTTAACAA